GTGATCGATCCGAGGATCGATCACACAAACCCCAGTCTGATATGCACAGAACCGTAAAAAAATTGTTCTGAACTCTTTCAACCGAAATCTTCTGAATGGTATAGGTAATAGGGTGACCATACATTGCAACCATATAGATCTCACTGACCTTGTGTAAATACATTTGGCAGAAGTTATTGAGAAATTCTTAACAATTCCTTAAAACAAAACCCAACAGCTAGAGGACTGTACATTCTTAATATGTTCAACAACTGTTAGTCCCCCATCAAAAGTCATACCAAGGTCTTTTATTTTGAGTGTATGTTCAATTTCTGTATTTTCAACATAATAATGACAATTTATTTTTTTGTTGAATCTAATAGTATATTATATACCTAGGTAGAGAAGTTGGTCATTATATACCGAGCGCTTTTATAATGTGTAAGGTATATAATGACTTTCTCTACCGAGGAATATATAGAATTTTTTTTACTACTACTAGTAGAAAATAAAAAAAATATTCAAAATCTGTGCTCTTAATTATTTTTTTGAACGCCCTTTTGAAAGTGCTGCCCTCTAACAACAGCTTATGATAACTTCCTATATGTACCTACAGAAACCTGTATTTTTTTTGAATTGACCTATGAAATTGAAATTGGACCAATAGAAACATGACAATATCCTTGCATCATGACGTCATTTTCATTATTGACCTAGGTATTTTTTCATTATTTTCATTATTAACCTAGGGAGAGAAATTCAATTTTTTCCTAAAAAAATAGATTGAATAATGACTATTTCTCAGGTTAGTAGTAAAAAAAAATAGTTATTTTTGTATCAAGTGCGCGAAATGACATTTTGGTGATCGAGAACGAATTTTTTTTGACGACGCGTAGCAGAGTCAAAAAATCGTTCGAGATCACCAAAAACCGAGCCAAAAACATTTCGCGTCCGAGTTGCAAACAATATTTTTTCTACAACTCTATTCAAATATCGATCATTTGAAGCCAAAATTGCATTTCCAATCAAAGGCAGGTGAATTTTAATTATTTTTTGGCATCCTGACAGGTATGTGTCACCATGGTGTCATGGAAACATTAAAAAATCAATACCTGGGAAAAAAGTGTCACTTCGCAAACTGTCATGAGTGTGCGAACATCATCATTTGTTGACAGTTGTAGAAAAAACTTATTGTATAACACATGTCAACATTTAACTTCAGCTCATTCACCTCACACTATGTGACTAATGACTTAAATCTTCCTGTAATAATACAGTATCAGAAACATTATTTATTATTCTCAAATATTTGAAATTATCTGCAAAAGATAATGGTATACAATGATGAAAATTCTGTGTGATATCGTTGATAAATGTACTAAAAAACAATGGTGATCAGTGTACATCAGATGTTGCTAAAATATTCGCAGAAAAAACTGCCAATCTCAACTTTTTGTACTCTACCAGTAAAGGAACTAAAAAACCACTGAACTATGCTTGACTGGAAATCAAATTGATGGAATTTCTTAAAAAGCAAACCATGATTGACACTATCGTATCAAAGACTTTGGAAAAATCTGTATAGATAGTATCAACTCGATTTTCGTCTTCCAAAGCCTTCAACATTAATGAGTGATATAAAACTAAGTTGGAGGTTGTGGATTTGCCCCTTGTAAAACCATGCTGAGCCTCATCGGCAGGCCCATGTCAATTGCTTACATATTAGTTTGTCAAACAATTTTGGAATGGTAGATTGGGTACAAATACTTCCATAATTTATTATGTTTTGTTTATCGCCACTACTAGAAACCTCTGTTTCCAGAGCCCTGTGTATTTTGAACTAATCATAGAATTATTAGATAAAATTATGATTGGTTTTGTAGGCGGACAAAACACATTTCTTTAAAAGTAACTCAGGAATAACATCGGGCCCCACCATGACCCTATCAGAGGGGGTTATCATTGCTTCAAAAATGTTCTGACTTTTAGGATAAATTTCTGTTAATGTGTGATCAAATGAAGAACTTGACAAATACAGTGGAAAAAAATTTACCAAATGAATTGACAATGTCCTTCACCTAACTCTTGGTTATTGTAGACCCTTTTTGAGGGAAGATTAGGTATAGGAACTTTTTCAATCTCTAATAAATTTCCAAAAATGCCCAGGGTTGGTCTTGCAATTGTTATCTAAATTAATTTTATGCTCAGATAGATAGTTCCTAGTAAGTTTTTTTAAAGTGAGATCTAGGAAGAGAATATTCTTGATAGTTGAAATCAGTTTTATCACTGAAACACTCTTGGAGAAAACTTTCGTGGGCTTTTCTCTTCATAGAAATTAAATGCCTAAGTTCTGCTGAGAACCATTTAGGAAAATAATTTGTTTTGGATTTTTTTATAGGTACAAAATATGCAATTGCCTCAACCAATACTTCATAAAACATGTGATGTCTTATTCCCATCAATAACTAATATCACCCAATCATGAGCAATGTGGTGATGACTATCCTCAAAAAGGGATCACTATAGGCACTAGGCACTATAGCCTTATCAATAACTAAGTTAACGCAGTTTGTAAATGCCAGGTCCATCTGTTATTTAGAGTGTTATTAATTTGGAAGAGAAGAGATTAAAAAATTCAGAAGATGTGGCTACTTAAATTTTCAGGATACACAACATTAACTCCATATTCGTCATTGGACCGGTAAGCCTCTAGTAAGTTGTAGAAGAGTCCAATAGAATAAATTTTCTGTAGAGGCTGTAGAGCAGATTAAAAGGAACTTCAATTGAAAAGCTTCTGTACTGTAGAACAGGCGCTTAGGCTCAGAAACATGATGTTTTGGTTGCACATAAACAAATTTTGAGTAAACTCTAGATTTATAATAATATGGTATGTCTACTTATGCTAGGGTGGTGTTTTATTATCAATATTTTGCGAATTCTGGAAAGTAAATATAATTGACGGAACTTTTTTTCTGGAAACCGGATATAAAAGGGGTACACACCCCTAGACAAACTTAGTCACAAAAATCAATTTTCCAAGCATTTCAACGTTGCTTACCTTATCCTACAGTATTGCTAGAAACCAAGGAACAATTTCGGGTGCGAAAAACTACAAAAATTTCGTGCATTTAACAACAAAAATATCCGCCCAAGTTTCCACCCTTTTTTTTTGTATATTTCCTTCTTTTCTCTTTTCTTTCAGTTTTGACAAGAAAACAATGAAAATGGTGGATGACAGTTCTTGCTGAGTCGATAAAAACAGTTACTCTATTCTTGTCTTACTTCACGTACCTGACAAGGATAGAAAATAAATACTTCTTCCTGTTTTACCAAAAAATATTTGTTTCATTTTTTTTGTTTGCTTATTAGAGACTTTTGCTCGTAGATTGTTATCAGTTTCCATTAATAAATAATCTCGAATCGTACTTTTCCAAAATATGTCAAAATTCTTGACATTTACCGTTATCACTATTCTATCACGCCCTATTTCTAACTAGGGATGACAATTTTTATGAGAATCGCCGATTTGATTCGATTCGATCGATTGAGTATGCATCGATATTCAATTAAGTGCATATCGATTGTCCCTAAAAAACCTTTTTATTTTTTTATTTTTCAATTTTATTCTTGTATGGTAAGTATGATGGCCTGTTTTATCTCAATATCTTGAAAACCAAGAAATCTTCAAAATATTAAAATATTTAAAATCGTTATTTAGGTATGGGCGCTTTCTTTTATTCACCGATGGATATTACACACTACTACTACTACTACAGGATCGCCTATCCTCAAGGCCTGTGTAGAACAAATCTGAAGCCCCACCACACCAGATCACCAGATGTGACGTAAAAGCATGTCGTTTCTCGCCCTGACGTATGCTGTTCTGCGGGCTTTATGCATACTTGGTTGGTTCTACTCTTAGATCGTTCTACTACGTTAATTAATATTCCAAAACAACTTCTTTTTAGATTTCGTTTGCATCTTCTTCTGTGACCGCTGGCGCAAACAGCTGACGACTTAGTTAATGACGTCGACAATGGTGATACACCAATATGGCCGCGATTACCGCGATTACTCATTTTGATTATGTTTGTTTTCTTGATTACTTCCTATTTCGTTTTCTGTCCATAATTACATTATCGTCACATCGTGTGTATCTTTATTTTCTTGCTGTTTTTCTATTTTATATTCCGTGATAGTCTCGTCAAAGTATGAACATCTGACAGCCACAAACCGGTAACCACCACCACAGTATGCTACTATCACTAGTATCACTGCTTTTCTTGACCTTGGCTCTAACTTATTTCCTTTGGGCAAAATATTGCACCATGTTCTGCATCCAAAAATTCTCAATTTGCTGATATCATTTCTACACCATTCCATATTTGCGATGGAGTTTGACCTCTACGTAGTGCTGACGTTGGTGTTCTATTCAACTCGTACACAGAACACTCCAAAAATTAGTTTTTTTACTGTTTATGACTGTTTTCAACCAAAACAACCACTTGCAATGCCGGTTTTGTGAAACAAGAGGAACTGGCGCTGTTTATAGGTCTGTTTCTGCAGAAATCACAAACCAGTCAGAGTGAATTTCATTGGTTGAAACTAGTTTTCTGACTGTTTCTGACTGTTTTCAACAAATGAAATTCACTCTGACTGGTTTGTGATTTCTGAGAAACAGACCTATTGATTGGCATGTCAACACGTCCATCGAACTTATATGATATATGAGTTACAGGCAGATGGATAGATAAACGAGTTGTTCTCGTGCGCATTTCTTCTGTATTTTAGTCAAGAGAATGACGGGCTCGAGAAGACCAGTCTTGTATACACCTCTGATGCATCCCCACCATGACCCAACTCGAGCAGCTCACTTCTCCTGGCCCATGGGTGGTCTTGACATCTGATCACAACAAACATCAGTGCGAATGCGATGCGGTGTCTATCTTTGTTAAGATGTCATTGGTATTGGCCATAAATAAAACTTTTTTCAAAAATCTGAAACCGAAAATCTTCATCCTTTCTGATTTTAATACTTTTGATACAAATTTGAAAATTGGACGGATTTCAAAAATTTGGTAAAAAAAACAAAAAACTCTTCACGCTCCAGGCTCGTGGTTTCTGAGAAAATAAGCTTTAATGGCATCCACAAAGTAATGCAAAAGAAGGGATGCAATTAAATAAATCTCACTGTTGGTTTGTTCAATTTTTATTAGGCGATAAAAAAATAGACAAAAAACTTTTTAATTGTTTCGTCATAGTTAAAAGGGATTCTTTTAGTTGTTTCATTTTGATACAAAAGTAAGAATTATAATAGGAACTCTTTAAAAACAATAAATAAATAAAATAAATATTGAGCTTAAATAGGTATAATAAATAGTTTTAACAATAAAACATCACTTTATAACAAATCAAATAGGTACAGAGTATTCCAACGAGGACTGAACATCAGGGGCTTATTTTTGACATTACCTGTATTTTTGAAAAAATTCAAAATAGCCAATTGAAATACATATATTTTTTTTCTGGACAATTCAAAAATGGCACCAAAAAAACATTTGAATCAAAAATCAAACAGTTAGAGCCCGCGTCAAGAGAAAAGAGTACGGTGACGACGCGCTAAGCTGCGCGAAACGCGTCGGATCTGTCCCTCTTCTTCCTCTCTCGGGTCTACCGAGACGAAAAACCAGCAGCGGATATCTTTTTAGACAAAATTTAGATAGGAAATAAACTATCAATAGGATAGTTCGGCTAGCGTTCAAAATTGGGTTTGTGCACACTTGTCGTCACCGTACTTTTTTCTCTTGACGCGGACTCTACGCCATGGATGAACTGGTTTTTAAATGGAACATCTTGTTTTTTGTACGATTTTTGGAATAGTCGCATTTTTGATACTCCGATAGCTATTTCCAATGTTTTAACGTCGATCGTCGATGGAACACCCTGTACGTGATTTTTCGTATAATCTTACAATTAAGTAATCTTGTGCGCACACACAGGAGTGAATACCAAATGGCAAATACTTACATAAGAAATTTTCCAAAAAACTGGTGTTTTGATAATATATATGCCATATTTCAGAAGTAGCTGAGCAAGCAAAAATCCGCAAAAAACTAGCTCTGTAAAATGATTCAAGTATTTGTTAATAAACCCCACCTCAATCCTATATCAACGATTCCCTTACTAGCCGAAGCTTGTATCAAGCTAACAGTTAATGCAGCTAAAGTAACAGCTACTTCCAAATATAAAGCATATAAAATTCTAACTGTTCCTGCAACACTAGCCACTCCACCGCTAGCAGTGAAGTCCAAAGGGAACATGAATGAGTGTAAAACGTCTCTACCTCTTACAAACCCAAACAAACCCACCCCTAGCAGATAGAAAACTAGTAAAGAGACAAACGGAAACCATTTAAGCCATTTTGGTTGTTCCGATAAGCTAGGACCAAGGGCCAGTTGCTGTAGCTTGACCGATGTCAAATTAGCCAGATTTAAGACTAAAAGAAAATGTAGAGGAATACCAACTAAAGCAAACAAAACCGCGGTGCCTCTGCCCAAAGGTGTTCTCGGCACTGGTGCACCAAATCCCAGCGTTGTCAGTAACGAAACACTAAACAAAATGCATCCGGGATAAGTCCAAATGTTGCCGCCGCCACCTTCACCGAATCCAGCACCGACTGCTTCCAAAAAGAAGGTCTCGTGCTTTTCAAAGTATTTGTGGATCATGTCGGGCCAGGCATCCACGTGATCTGAGTTACTTAAATATGTCGCCAATTCAGTGGATAAGTCTCTTTGAATTTTTGCCAAGGTTTGAGTTTGTTGTTGTTCTCGTGGTCCTACAAAAAAAAAATCTCTAGTTAGATACCGAATTTAATACATCTGCATTAAAGCAAATGGTGCAAGCCAGAACTTTTCTGATTTTATGCCAAAATTGTTTTATTATATGTTCGTGACCAATTATATATCTATTCAGCTTTGAGGGTATTTTAAATGATCTTTGCTTTAAAAGTTTTAGTTGGCAGGAAATTTGTAGATGACATATTTGTTGATTTTAATAAGGATGGATCTTTATTGTTGGTATATTTAAGTGATTGGCCAGTAGGTACAGGGTGGTCCAAATTGGACTCTTTCTTATGGAAACACCCTTTATTTTAGGAGGTAGAAAAAAATAGACCCCCACTCTGAGGCTCAAATTTCATGAAATCTTGATTGGTGCAAACCACATATTGATATCTTCAACCGTTTAGCCGCTAGATGGCGATTCTCGATTTTGAGCAATACTGTAAAGCCTCCATAACTTTTTTGTTTATGAAAATAATTCATTTCCGTAAAGGGCTTTTGGAAGCACTTTTTCAAGCAGAATTCAGTGACGTTCTCAGTTTTTTTCTGTCTGGCTCCGATTTCGAGATATTGACCAAAATCCGATTTTTTTTCAATATGACACCCAATATATTAATAGTTCATTAGAAAGCTATGCTTTTGCTGATTTCAATGATATAAAGTTTGATAGGTTTATCTCTAACAGTTTTCGAGAAAAAAAATTATTTCGGTTTTTGTCATAAGAAACGATGTGTTAGACAGAGACCTTTCTCAGTTTCCTTACAGAGATAAAGTCCTTTTCCAACATATTGTTTCTTATGACAAAAACCAAAATAATCTTTTTCTCGAAAACTGTTAGAGGTAAACCTATCGAACTTTCTATCATTGAAATCAGCGAAAGTATAGCTTTCTAATGAACTATTAATATACAGTGTCATTACTTACGTGTGCAACATATGGGATTTTTTTTTAGTAATAGCACAATCAAAATACAAACAAGGCCAAAAGTTGGTGCATGTCTGATAATCATATTAGATGCATTTAGAATGGTTGCAAGTCAAACAGCATACAGGGTGGCTCAAAAAATATCAAAATTCTACTAATATCTACTTAAATAAAATAAAACTTTTACACTTTAGGGAGAGTTTTTTTAATATGGCTATTTTCATTAGTAATGTTTCAACTTGTTAAAAAAAAAATTGCGACATTTTAAAGTTGTGTTGAATATCATTGCAACAAACATGAATTTTGTGATTCCATAAAAAATTAAAAATCTAAGTCAATTTTACAAATATGCTTGAATTTGAACAAGGTTATGTAAAATTGATTTGATTTTAATTAATTTTTGAAAGTATTAAGGGCGGAAATAAAAAATAAAAAAAATATAGAAATTATAGAATTTTTTCGAAAGAAAATAAAAAAATCTTAGGAGGCTATGTTTTGGTATTTAGGCATAACTCTTAATTCCAAACAACTTTTCTCAATAACATTTTGCTGAATTTTCTAAAATAAGGGTACTTTACAGTACAGCTTTGATATTGTTTGAGCTACCCTGTATGCTGTTTGACTTGCAACCATTCTAAGTGCACCTAATATGATTATCAGTCATGCACCAACTTTTGGCCTTGTTTGTATTTGGGTTGTGCTATTACTAAAAAAAATCCCCATATGTTGCACACTTAAAAAATCACACTGCATAGGGTGTCCTATTGAAAAAAATCGGATTTTGGTCAATATCTCAAAATCGAAACCAGACAGAAAAAAACTGAGAACGTCACTGAATTCTGCTTGAAAAAGTGCTTCCAAAAGGTCTTTACGGAAATGAATTATTTTCATAAACAAAAAAGTTATGGAGGCTTTACAGTATTGCTCAAAATCGAGAATCGCCCTCTAGCGGCTAAACGGTTGAAGATATCAAAATGCGGTTTGCACCAATTAAGATTTCGTGAAATTTGAGCCTCAGAGCGGGGGGTCCATTTTTTTCTATCTCCAAAAGTAAAGGGTGTTTCCATAAAAAAGTGTCCAATTTGGACCACCCTGTACAATAAATTAATATGTATAGCAAATAAGAAAAGGGAACTTTTCCTGTTCTTATTATCTATTACTTATTACTATTCTTGAATTTTGTAGGTACTGTTTGAAACAAAATTACTGATGAGATAAGATAATGGGGAACCACCTAGAAAAATTATGAAAGAGAATATGTTATATACAGAAAGGACCAGGCCACTGGAGTCTGGACACATAAGCTTCAATGGGACCAGCTATGACTCATACCCATCTCACTGCAGGATCGTCATGATGTATCATTGATCGGCCCTGCATGTTTTTCAAAGTTGTATATCTTCGAAAGCTCAGCTATAGTCGGATTCGACAGCAACGCCTCAATTCGCCTGAACCGGGTACAAACTAATTCGTCTTATGTGTCTAGTAGGTTGGTTCAGTCTGTATGATCTTGAAGGTCATCAAGTGATGCAGAAACGGCCTAGTTTTTCTACTTGTTTAAAAACTCGCCTTAGCTCAGACAGCAATACAAAGTCTTGAAGGCGTCTTTTTCAGGTCTACATTGTGTTCGAACGTCTGTAGATCAATAAAAGACGTCCATAAGATGGCATAAATTCACATCTTGAAGACAACTGAGCTACATTATTCTATTTGGTAGGTACAACCGGGACAAAGTGAATAATGGTTTATTTATTAAAAAAAGATTCAAAGACGTCTTTAAGACATCTCGTTGAAGACGTCTTTAGAATGTCTTGGAAAAATGTCATAAAAACGTTTTCGGGCAAACTTTGGGTTCATACGACGTCATAAGATGCCTTGAACACTTTTGTGGATAATGTGGACATCTTAGGAACGTTTTTAAGATGTCTACAAATACTTCCCACAAAATTCGTTTCAAAGGACCCCGCACACTTCTTATGGTATTTTGGGATTCCGTCATCTTGTCTGAAAATTTGATATGATGTTACTCCCAACATTCGGATTAAAAGTGTCTATAGGCCCAACTTGATCCTATGTCTAGTTTTCGAGATACAGAGGGTGTCAAATTTTCACCATCCTATATCCAGGAAAACCGAAATCAAGAAGGTACTTTGTTTTTTGAATATGTCCATCGGCTAAACATCGTCCATTTATTAGAAATAAGAGTAAAATCAAGACACGGTAATCGCAGTTAAATAACTATTAATTACCAAGAAATGGTAAATCAAGAAAATGCTACGGTTATAAGTTACAAAACGCCTTTCAGAGTGAATTGAAATTGCTGTAGAACTTTAAACCTTTAATAAGTATCCAAGACAGTTCAAATCCCAATCAGAATTTTCAGTAACAATTAAGAGTTATTTCAGAACAATTATTGGATTCAGTTTAGAACTGGAAACCTTTTAGAACTCTTGGTTCTGAACCAATTAAACATTTGTCAGAACAATTCAGAAATTACTGCAAAACTTATAAAATGCTTCAGAACTCTTCAAGCCAAGTTAGAATACTTTAAAATTTCAATAAGCCATTAAGAACATTCTAAAACACTTTACTAAGTCAAAAATTGAAAGTTATAATATGGGTAATAATAATGAAATATTAGTCTTGAATACGTGTTTAGGCAGACGTCTGGAAGACATTGGATTTTATAACATACGATATCTTTAAGATGTTTTAAGACGCCATGAAGTCGTAAGCATCTTAGGCAAGTCTTCAAGATGTCTGTCTCTGTGCTATCTGGGAGTGGACTTGAGAATAGCCAAACTTCGACAACTAATGTGCAGATTTTTGATAGAACTTCGAACAAATATACGTAAACGATGTTGCCTTGTTTGGGTTAGTTTCAATTAATACATTTAATCTCACATAGGTATGTTTGTGTTCCAAGCAACGTAGGTAAAACGCCAAATATCGATTATCCACCCAAGTAATTCGAGTGAATGCATGCAAGCCTATGGAAAGTTACAATTTTTGAAACAAAAAGCGATTGCTTCCAGCAATTTTATGTACCATTTGCATGTTCTAAAGTACTTTGGATATAAGAGGAAGATTACAACAAAAAATGTCACTGGAAAATTTGATACTTAATTTAAATTTTTAAACAAAACATTTACCTTCAGTATTATAAAAAGCATAAGCACCAATTAAAGCCCATATTATCACAACAATAGTAAGACCGATTTGCGACAGCAACCACTGGGAGACAATTTTAAAGCAGCACTTTAACTTCAAGCTGCAACTCGTTTCTGAGGGGCTCAATTTGAAATCGCAATCTGTCTTTGGCCAGAATCTTAATCTAGAAAGAGAAAATTCAATATTTTACTACCTATAATACTTAGATATTATTTGTCTCACCTGTATGGTACCAAATGTGAGGTCTGTACTGCTGCATTGACAATAGCGGGTTCGGTTTTAATTGAATTAGTTAGGCCTACATGAATGTGGTCCACGTCCACGTACAATTCACTGTTTTTCATTTTATTGGATTTCTCACCTGGAAGTTAAAAACTCGTACCATCAACTAACAATAATTTATTTTCTAATGTGGTTGTTACCAATACAGGCAATTACGACACATCCGAGTGTTATAAACTTTTTAACCTTGCCGTTATGGATTTCGCAAAAGATTATTAAAAATCGCGGCTTTTTTCTAGGAATTTACATACGCGCGAGTAGGAGCATGTATTGGAATTGGTACCAGGAGCACCTGTAAAAGTAATTAGTGGAAATGGTACTTTACTTTGCAAATATTATTGCAATGGCTTTAATAATGCACTTGGAGACGAATAGTATAATCAATCTCAATGGAATCTTATTACCCACATTATATTTAAAATTCACCCAATATTTATTAGCATATTTCTACGTACAGTGTTAATTTACAATTGGATTGCATAACCGCGCTATTACACGGGAGTAATTTTGTTGGTACAAAAAAATTATCGGCAATTTTAGGAAACAAATAATAAAATTTTACCGGCGAGATTAAATGTGTTGCTTATTACCTCATCAAATTACAATTTTTTTTTAATGGAAAATTACAAATTAGTGATTGGAAAATAATTTTTTCTACGAGAGTGCGCAAAGTAACTACTTTGCGCACACTTTTGCGTACGCAAAGAAACCCTTTCCCAAAAGTATTGCGGGAAAAAAATTTTCCCGCACACTATGCGCAAAGTAACTACTTTGCGCACACTTTTTTTTCTGGTACCCATAATAAAATCCGGGGGCCCCCTATTTGGGGGGCAAATTAAGTTCTGCGGGGGCCCCTTTTTTAGGGGGCAAAGCCCCGCGGAGAGGGGGCCGAATATTTTTTTTGTCCGATTTAGATATACCTAGTTGGTTATAATAAGTTGTTTTTGATGCCTATAAAAATTAAAAATTTAAAAAAAAAGTATAGTTATTTCACTCGTAGAAAAAATGTTGTTCCTAAAACTTAAAGCTTATTTGAACTCCGCTACGCGTCGTTCGTCTAACTGCTTTTGCGTGCGGGAAAACATAACTTTGCGCACTGATTACGAAAACTACTATTATCTTTACGACTATTCGTCTCTTATTTAATCTAGAGATTGGTAGACATTAATTACAATAATTAGGTATACTGATTCTGATTATCACATTACCTACTACCAGTTGGCGGTATGTGAACCTGGTCTTCATTTCAAAGGCTGGTAGCCTACCCTAATTTCTCCCAAAGCCCGTTCCAAAAAAATGGTAAATCAACTAAGACAGTCCTACACAGTCTGGTCCATTAGAGAAGAAACCGCTTTATGCGCATTTATTGATATTATTGTCAAGTACTTAAGTAAATACCACTCTGTACATCAATTTTACTAAAGTGTGTCGACGAGTCAGCATTTATTTGGTATAAATACCGCGCCGAAATCCATTACCGACAGACTAAGGCTAGTGCAAAGTACCTCAAATGGGAAAAGCCCCTCTAGCTAAGTCCCAGTGCAAACTGCCTTTAATGGGAAACGCCCTTCTGGGAGTATTGAAAGCAGCAGACTAGGTCCAGTGCAAACTACCTTTAATGGGAATTGCCCTTCTGGACCTGTCTCAAACCTAGCTTCACTCTTCAGTCATGCCAAGTGTACAGAGGGTACATAATACAGAGTGGCCTATAAGTAGTACGTCCCTCCGTAGTAGAGACGTCATGATACTCTTTCTAGGGTAATATTATTATTATTCAATCCATTATCTTATTATCCCTATACCAAGCGAGTTTCTCTCTACCTGAACCCCACCTACGCCCCCAGGTCACGCGCCTGTTGTGACGTCCCAAGACGAAACGTATAAGGGTTGTGCCAATATAGAGAGGCAGAGGGAGCTTTCGATAACACCTCACATGAATCCATAAGAAGAGCGGCAAGAAATAAGGGCTTCAACGAAACTACAATAATTGCATGGATTGAAGCCACGCTTGAGAGTAGGAATATCGAAGCAACTGTTGGGAGAGACTCTGCAACGGTCTCAGCAGTCAAGGGATGCCCCCAAGAGGGTGTTCTGCCCCCACTGGCAGTAGATGAACTTGTCCAAGGGATCACCGTCCTACGATAGAAGTAAGCATGAGAGGATCATCAGTGACCTCATGCAAAATGCCCTAAATATCATTATTAGATAGTGTCTACAGTAGGGTTTAAGCGTCAACCCCGACTAAACCATTATTGTAGATTTAAAAGGAAAACCAGGCTAAATCTAACAGCCCCAACCTCAAATGGGATGCAAATCTACTTTGCAAGCGAGGTTAAATATCTGGGAGTCATCTTGGATCAAAAATTTACTTGGAAACAACATTCCTAAAAGAGTAATCGACCGGGCAATAGCCACATACTGGACATGCCGAAGATTATACAGCAAGACTTGGGGTCTAAAGCGAAAAATTATCTAATGGTTATAGGATCCATGGTCGCTTACGCTGCAATAGTATGGTGGCCAAAGGTAAAACAACAGACAGCGCAAAACCGATTGGCAACTGCGTACAGAGGTATGCATGTCTTGGAATTACAAGAGGAAGGAACACTTGTCCAACCGCTGCATTGAAGGACATGTTGGGCCTCCTACCACTAGATATAATAGTGAGAAAAGAGGTCTACATGAGAGCCTCGAGAATAATGCAGTCCTTAAAACCGAAGGAAGGGGACTTTGTCGGCCACGTGAGCATTATGAAAGAATGCATAAATGTGAAGATAAAACCAGTTGATCACATGCAATACAGGTATAAATTTGAACACTCCCCCGAAGAGTCGCGAAAAAGAAATTCACCTGTATTTCCGAACGGGTCATCTGCTGGTATACAGACAGATCGAAAACAGAGCAATAAGGGACTGGATCAGGAGTATGTGGCCCACTTTGTAGACTATCAAAGCCCAACTTTGCGCTAGAAAAGTGTCTCGAACAAGACCTGCGAAGAGCCAAGATCTATAACAATTCCGACAGTCAGGCAGCACTAGGAGTAGCTCTAGAGATTCCCCATATAATTATAGAAAATGATGTTGGCTGTTGATCATCCAAAAATACCCAATAGGAAAAAGTACAAGAATTTTAATAAAAATCATACAGAATCTTCATCCATAATGAGGTACTTACAATTCCAGATTGTATAGCATGATTTCCAGAAAACTTTTTGCTTATGATGGATATTCCACTAGTAGACTATTTAATTTGGTTTTGATGAAGGAAGCAAAATCAAAGTTCTAAAAATCGGTTTATGTAAGAGAAACGACTTTTCCTTCTTCATATACCTTTTGATAGGCAAAATCCTTGACAGTCAATACCTACTCATATAAAATTCAAATGGGTCAACAAACTATTCCCACCTTATAACTAATTGCCTATTGATTTCCCATTTCCAATAAATACAATTATTACCCTTACCAGGAAACGAATTCCTCAAGCTCAATCTCCTTTGAAATTTCCTAGGGGGCTTCAATGGCGGAATCGTCTCTTTACCGTTATTATTACCGAAATCGTCTTCGCTGAGGTAATTGTCCAAATCCATGTTACGGAAATTATTGATTTGTGTAAAACTTGGATATTTTGTTGGTTTTATTTTCGTCGTCGACAGGCATTTGGTTAGGACGGGTTCGTACATTTTTGCCTGAAATTAATTGGATCACTTAATCACACAGAAAATTTAGCAGTAAATTTTGCCTGCATTACAATGTAATACTTTTCTTATTATAATGGAATTTGTATTGAAGCTAAATAAAGAAAGTGCATTTTTGTGCTCACATTGCATAAACCATTAAATTCATTAATGAAAACTTATAATTATTTTATACACGCTATTATAATTGATTATTAAAAGGAAAACTTGATTAGATAAATTAATAATTTTGTTTTTTAAATTTATCATTTTGCCCTTGAATATTATGGAAAACACTTCCATATGCTCTATATGGAAAGTTGTGGCCATCAGAGACCAGAAAAGAATCTAAAGATATCCAGTAAAATTTCACAATTTTCCTTAAATTTTCATTTTCTTCTAAAAAAAATCACTTTGAAGGGAAAACGTGAAAAGAGCCAGGAATAGAAATATAAAGAAATTTAAATAGCTTAAAAACAAAAAACCGAATAGGTATAATTTCAAAAAAAAATCCCTCATTTTCCATTAATACCTATATCTTGTTTATTATTTTTTCTGTTTTTGGAACCAATTCTGGACCTATTTTTCATCTTGTCAGTGCAAAGTTCCTAGTACTTGAAGCAAAATTACTTATGAACCACTTACCTTCTAGTACCTACTCGACAATCCAAGTACATTCCATGAAAGTCAATCATTTAAAATTACCGCGTATAAATAAAGTTTAAATTTCTAGACGTTGCGACGACTTTGCGTCGTTAGGCTTGACTGATTGGTGCTGGAAATAAATCCAGAAACTTTCCATTTAGGTGCGGTATTTCCATGGGTTATGGCGCACCCATTATAAGGGGAGTTTTTGTATTAGCAAAATTTATTCCGCTCATAGATATGAAGGCTGTAAAAATCTTAAAAAAGTAGATAATGGTTTGTTTACGGAACAATTGAAAATATAATAGGTACTTATGTATTGAGACTAATCCAGAAAGCTGCAAGCTTTAATAATCTTTATTTATTATGTTGATAATAAACTCTTTTGGAAAAAATCCAGTATATGAGTTATACGAATAACGATCATTAGTGATTTTCCTCTACAAATGTAAGTTTGTTTTTCAATGCTGCAACGATAAGAGTTTTAGCTGATAAGAACACATACTTCTTATTAATCTGTATTAAAGGATAAGAAGAGGATCTGAGCTTGCTCTGACTAGAACCTCGCTTTTCAAATTTATGAAGAATTGCATTTTTCTTAATTTTCTTCAATGTACCTACAAATTTTAGTAAAATTAATGAACTTAGCATCTTCTTTTCCTCTTTTATTTCGCTTCTCTTTAAGTTCAATAAGCAAACCACAAAATTATTCTCAAAAAGCATTATAACAAAAATGAAAAATACCTCAAATTAAATTACATATTTGTCAATGTATTTTAGCTTTAAACATGCAATATTTTTTTAAGGTTTAGGCAGATATTTTTGGTAATTAAATTTTCAGGTCACGAAATCGTAAAACTCCCTTATGGTTTAGTTATGAAGCAAATGAATGATCTACCTTATTTTGTACTGTCGGGAAAGGGAATCCTTTATTGGATTCTCTAATTAAGTCCCTACCTTTGCTAATTAATTTCCTTAGAAAAAGATAAGACCGTAAACAATTTCATAATTATTGTTTTTGACCAAAATTAAATAATATGTAATACTTAATTGTTTTTTCGTCATATCTAAATCTAGTTCCTGGAAACAAACATTCTAAGATAATGATGGATTTAGGCATTGGAAACGTTTCCTTTCAATAAATAATTTTTTATGATTCACAAAAAATTGTGACTTAACTATGGAAAAATTTTATTTACCATCTTTTAAACGTCACAGCATTTCCTTTGATTGATTTGAAAGGGGAGCCTTTACAGGCAGCACGTAGACTCGCATGTAGCCCATTGTGCTATTCCTCTCTTGGTGCAGCCCTGTCTTACCCTAGGAGCCCGCAACTATCAGAAAAGATGCTCAGCTCAGGTCGGACATGCTTAATTTCATCAGGTTCTAGAAACCTGTACCCAAGATATCGTAGTCTGCGACTAACGAGAGCATCATATTCGCAGACTATAGGCGTAAAAGTTTCATTTCCTTCGCTGCAAAACCTGCATTTCGTTCCATTACTGAGTCCGATGTTGTGTAGGTGGTATCTGACCACCCAGTGCGCCATCAGGACGCCTGTGATCGTGATGGCTCTTAGTTGGCTCATGTTTGGTTTGAGGAAGCTTTCTGTCTCTTTAAAACTTGAGGGACCTTGTATAAAGACTGCCTGAAGTCTCTTGAATTCAGCCATTCGCATCTTGGAACTGGTTCAATTCAATTCAATTCAATTCAATTTATTCAATTCAATTTATTGATCAGTACATACAGAAAAGTACAGGGCAGCCATAATGGCGTTGATCACAAATCACACCTAATTTTACAACAATATGACTAATAATACAATAATACAATAATACAAAAACAATGACTGCCCAGCAAGAATACTGAGCTTACATAAAATCATTGAGCTAAACAATAGCAGTTATCAGTTTTTTTTTGTTTTTTTTTTTATCATCAGTTAATAAAATAAAATAAAACAAAATAAAAAATTATCAGTAAGACTGTCAGTACATATTCAATACAGATAAGACCACAAAGTTACAAGTATCCAAGACAAACCCGCAGGTACAATTCAAAAAAAGACAAAGAAGTGACCAGGAAACATCCCAGGCAATCATTGAAGAGTAAGCAGCCTTGGCACTGAATTCCGAAAATATTCATCGAAAGAATAATTTGCAGAGGAAACCAACACATCCCTTATTCTTTTCCTAAATTGCCCAATTGGCAGTTGTCTAATATTAAGAGGTATTTCATTATACCAAGCTCTACCCAAATGAAAAACTGACCTCCTAGTAACTTCCATCTGAGACTGGGGTAAACTTAAACTATATCTATTTCGAGTTTCGTAACTATGCGTATAGTTTGCTTCTGTTGAGGACTTATTTTGCAAAAAAATTAGGCTTTCAAAGATAATTAGGTCATACACTGTAAGAATCTGCAACCTTTGAAACAGTGGTTTGCAGTGAGCTAGCCGATCAGCATTTGAAATTATTCGTACTGCTCTTTTTTGTAAAATGAAAACAGAATTAAGTCGCGTAATTGTTGCATATCCCCAGAACACAAGCCCATATCTCAAGTGGGACTCAAAGAGAGCATAATATACTTCTAGTGATATAGCTTCGTCACCCAATTCTTGTGAGGCAGATCTAATAGCATAAGTAGCAGATGCCAAATTTTTTGACAGCTTATTTAAGTGATTTTCCCATTTCAGGGAACGATCCAGTACAATTCCCAAAAATTTATAGTCCGTGGCATAGCTACTAATGCTATTCATAAGCATTAGTAGCTATTTTTAGGGAGATGTTTAAATTTTTATTAAAAGTCATAAACTTGGTTTTGTCGGTGTTGAGGGCTAGTTTGTTTGCATCAAACCATTGCTTAATTGATGCCAGATCTGTGCAGATAACTGTCTGTAAGACCTCTGGATCGTCTCCCATCCAGCAAATTGAAGTGTCATCCGCAAACAAAGTGAAACTGCCTGCAATACTCAGCGAAGTTAAGTTATTTATGTAAATCAGAAAAAGTAATGGACCCAACACTGACCCTTGCGGCACACCATCCGTAATATCTCTATAGTCGGACGTTACTTTTTCACCATTATCTGTTATTTGGTTGTTGGACTAGTTCCCGATCTTGGTTTTCACCAGGCAGGAAGCAACCCCAAGTTTACGCTCTGTGCAAGTGTTAACTTTGCCAACTATAGATTGTTATACAGATCAATATCCTTAAGAAAATTCATTAAGTTTACTAAATCATTATTAATATCTAAAACCATCCTAAGTTCTTCTTTTAGTTCATGTTTTCTTCTTAAATTCGTATATTGTGGACAGTCTATCAGGACATGTTGTACTGTGAGTCGAACATTGCAGTAATTGCATAGCGGTGGAATTTTGGATTCTAGAAGATATCTAAGTCCATGGGTAAGCTCAAATTTATGGCAGGGATGTTAGTATCTTGAGCAGTTTTAGCTGAGTAATCTGCAAGCTAATTTCCAGTGATCCCGATATGTGATGGCACCCAAATGATGGTGATTCGCAATCGCAAGTTGTGTAATGAATGGTAAATATTGAGTATTTGTTGCACTAATGGATTTGTTGAATATGTGTTACATATAGAGTGAATGGACGCTAGAGAATCCAGTACAGATGGCGATGTTTTGTCCTGTACCTGAGATCAATCGAAAGGCAGATAGAATTCCAAAAAGTTCATCGGAGCATACCTACACTACAATAACTAGTAAGCGTATATTGAGCCAAAGCAATATTAGATGTTGTAACTGCACAAACTAACACTGGTATTGTCCTTGGAGGCATCGGTATACAAAATCTCAACATAACTTAAGGGACGGACACTCTCAAGAAACAGTTTTCTAAGTAATGAAGGGTGTTTTGTAGCATTTGTGGGAATGAGTAAGGTTTCCTAGGAGTACGTTGAGTATACATTGGAATTCTATTCAGCAGATTATTAACAGGTTTTCCAGGATTTGACAGGTTTTCCAGGATTTGCGTATACGGTAGTTGTGTACGAAAGTAGAAGTATTTCTTCGACGAAGTTGGAGAGGAAGTTTTTGAGATTCAACTGGACTGGTTCTAAACGCTCCTAGGCAGATACGTATTGCGGTGTTGTGAATAGTATTCAGCTTTTTCAGTGTCGTAGAGCATGCTGTAGAGTAAACAATACTTCTATATTCTAGCTTAGATCGTACGAGGGCTCTATATACAGTGTCATTACTTAAGTGTGCAACATATGGGATTTTTTTTAGTAATAGCACAAGCAAAATACAAACAAGGCCAAAAGTTGGTGCATGTCTAATAATCATATTAGGTGCACTTAGAATGGTTGCAAGTCAAACAGCATACAGGGTAGCTCAAAAAATATCAAAATTCTAGTAATAATTTCTTGAATAAAATAAAACTTTTGCACTTTAAGGAAAGTTTTTTTTAATATGGCTATTATCATTAGTAATGTTTTAACTTGTTAAAAAAAAATTGCGACATTTTAAAGTTGTGTTGAATATCATTGCAACAAACATGAATTTTGTGATTCCATAAAAAATTAAAAATCTAAGTTAATTTTACAAATGTGCATGAATTTGAACAAAGTTATGTAAAATTGATTTGATTTGAATTAATTTTTGAAAGTATTAAGGGCGAAAATAAAAAATAAAAAAAATATAGAAATTATGGATTTTTTTCGAAAAAAAATAAAAAAAAATCTTAGGCGGCTATGTTTTGGTACTTGGGCATAACTTTAAATTCCAAACAACTTTTCTCTATAACATTTTGCCGAATTTTCTAAAATGAGGATACTTTACAGTACAGCTTTGATATTGTTCGAGCTACCCTGTATGCTGTTTGATTTGCAACCATTCGAAGTATGCACCTAATATGATTATCGGACATGCACCTACTTTTGGCCTTGTTTGTATTTGGGTTGTGCTATTACTAAAAAAAATCCCCATATGTTGCACACTTAAAAAATCACACTGTATATACAGTTGATTCATCAGCGCCCCACCAGGCGTTTCATGCATACTGACTTGATTTCCTGAATGTGATGTTTCCAGATTAGTTTTGAGTCAAAAATTATACCCAAATACTTATAACTATTGACTGATTGTATTGGTACGTCGTTCAGAGAAA